GTCTTTGCATCTCTAATGTGCTCCAGCATCTCCTCCTCGATTGTGGTTTTGATAGCGAACAAGGCCTTGCCAGCTTTAACATTCCATTTCTTCAAAGCTGCAGAATCCTCCGGTGGTGTAACCTCACTACCGTTCACAATATCCCACAAATCTTGGCCTTGTAAATATGACTCCATTTACGTCGACCACGTGCTGTAATTTTGACTATTTAGCGTCTTGATACCTCCGACTACTTGAAAGTCTCCCATCGTGGCTCAACTCGATCAACTCGCCACACACTCTGCAGTACTAAACTGCACACGAATTTTGCAGTACGGAACTGTCAAACTACGACCAAGAAGCTCAACAGAAAAACTCGTACCTCAACCAATATGTGGACGCTAACGTAATTACTTTATTAGATTAACAAAGTAATTACAAGAACACAATAGAAATCAAGATAAATATTTCACTTATCAAGACCAAAACACACTAATTATTTTATTATAATACAATCTCTCACTCTTTCAAATACACTCAATAATTTTTCTCACGCACACACGCTCTCACAACTCGCTCATTGGACACACACACAATGCTACATGAATGACATATTTATATTACACTAAGTCAGTGGCCACTAAACCATCTAGACAATTCTACAATTGTCTTGATATTTCTAATGATATGCTAATATTTAATTGTACCACTTGTAAAATATATAAGCATCCAAAGTTAGTTTAATCTTCTTGGCCCATCTAGAAGATTCCTCAAGGTGTTGAATTCAAAACTCCCCGTCAACACCGATTTCTACTCGTTCGTTGTTCCCAACCACCTTACGTCAAGTAAGGTATTTTCGCATGAGCATACGTTTTTAAATATTTTTCTGCACCTCGAATTTTGGTTACACACTCTTGCTGACCTCTGCTTTTGTGGTCTCTCGACGGTTGACCGATCCTCTACTCTTCTCCAATGCTCGTTTACTATCCTACAACTTATTGTTAGCTCATCTTCAATTCTATCTTCCTTAGTTGATTCTTTCTCACCACTGTCAGAGATTGGCAGCATTAAGTTATCAGTTGTCACCATATGCTCTTCACTATACTCGACCGAATTTGGTAACTCCTCCATGTCTTTTGTTTCGTCACTTGAGCTTCCAGAGTTATCTATCCACTCATCATCTGAGTCGACAAACTCTGCGACCGTTGCCGTTAAAGCCATCTCGACTTCTTCACTAACTTCTTCTTCTCCAATTATGGTTGACAGTGCTTTAAGGTCCCATTCGTCTTCACTTTTGTGTGCCTCATTAGACGTGACTGCATTTCCTTCTGCTGGCTTCTTCCTCGACCAACAATTCCTCGCTAAGTGTCATTTCTTTCCACAATTATTGCATTTCCCTTCAAATTTTGTACTTTCTTGAGGTTGACCGCTCAAATTTTCTTTCCTTTGTGCTCCCCCTAAATGAGCACTCCTTTCGTCTTCATCTTTGTATAACGGGTATAACGGTAATTTTAGTACACTATTATTATTATTATTATTATTATTATTCATCAAGACCTTGGTATTTATGTTAATATTTCTTCATATGTTTTTGGAGCAACCTTATTGTCAGTATGTTTTATTGCATTATTTCTTTTAGCTTGGAATAATAGTTTCATATAATTATCCTTGTGTCTTTGACTTCAGTTTAAACTAAGCAAAAAATCTTTTGTTATTGGGCAAGGAAAAATATTCATAAACAGTATATTTTTATGCAAACCACTTTATTTTATTATTTGCATCTAAAAATAATATTAATTCTATTTGCAATAGACATTCTCTTAATTAATATTGATTAAAGTAATAATTCTCTAGTTTTATGAAATAATGGGTATAACTAATTACACTCACCTTCAATATACATAAAAACAAAAAAAAATCTTCAATTTGCATCATATTATTGATTTAAGTTTTAACTTCCGGTTAATCGTAATGATGCTGACTTTCTTATTCAGCAAATTAAAGTGCCACATCAAATTAAGCTATCGGACACTAAAGTGCCACATCAAATTTAGCTATCAAAACAAACTGTGAAAAATCCATCAAAACGATCATTTGAGTTCAGGTTGCAATCAGACATTAAAGTGGCACATCAAATTAAGCAATCAAACAAACTGTGAAAAATCCAACGAGATGTTAATTTGAGTTCAGATTTCGCAAGGTTGCGTCTTTATTGCAAGTGTTTAAATCTAAATTTTGTTTGCCAAGAGCGTAAAACTCGTAATTCTATTTGCATTAGACATTTTTTAAATTAGATATTATTAATTAAAGTAATAATTTTCCAGTTTTATGAAATAATTGGTATAACTAATTACATTGTTCAAAAGTTGAGGCAAAGTGGCATTGGTACAAAAGGTCCAAGAAAAGCCGTGTCTAATGCTTCAATTCAATGCTTGTTTAGGGTTTGGTACACAACTGCCCATTGTAAAGAGAGAATTAATAATTGAGTTTAGGACCACTTTGCGTGCCGACGCGTGGCACCTTTCATTGAATTAACCCATCAGTTTTAAGGTTACTCCCTCTTTTAACAGTCAATACCCTCAACCCTGACCTGATCTGACCGCTTTCTTTTGCCAACTTGGCTTATTCTTACACAAAAGCTTAAAACCTCATCTTATGATGATGGGGAAAATGTCTAAAAAAATCCTAATCCTAAATTCTGTTTTAAGAAAAAAGAAAAAAACCAATAAAAATAATTGATGAATATAGATAGATCGCAATTTGTTGGTGAATCATTCTAACCATTAGTCACGTCGAGCAAACAAACATACTATCTTAGCTAAGATATATATTTATATCATCAAATATTATACTTTTATTTATATTATTTTTAAAAAATAATATCTTGTGACGAAAGTATGCACATCAGTAAAAAAACAGCATGTCGGTCTAACAATAGACCTACCATAGATAGATAATTATACAACGCAAATTTTAATATGAGGTGGTCTAACCATTAATGTGGGTCAACTCGTCATAGAGGAAATTCCAAATTCCGTTCGGATTAGACCCCTTTGCAAAATTAGTTCCACCTGGTGGAAATTCAATACATAACTTTTTTTCATTGCGAAAGTAGTCCCAAAGCCGTCAACATTAACGGGGATATCACATTCGAGTCACATGGCCATTGGTCGTTAGGTTGAAAAAGGAAGAAATTATAAATTTAGTCCCATAAAATTGTATGAGTTGCAAATTTAGTCCCAAATATTGAAAAAATAATTTTTTTACTGTTTTTTATTTCAATTTTGATGTCGTGGGTATATAACAATCTTTGACGGTAAAAATTTAGTTTGAGACAAAAATAATAATTACTATACAATGTTTTCTATATTTAAAATTAATTTTAATTAAATAATAAATATATTTAAAAAAATATTTAAATAATTTTATTATAATTATGGAACTGTAGAGGTTAATAAAATTTAAAAAATAAAAATAATATCAACTACTATTATTTTGAAAAATGGACCAAACTGGTTGTTTGAATCGAGAATCGATTAACTAAATGGTTAGAATTAGATTCCTTTGAACGTACTGGTGTGCAATGAATCGGTCAAAATTGGTTGAACGAAATGGTCAGTTGTATATTTTTTTAATAAATTAATAAATATTTATATACCTTTTAATATAAATATAAATTTAAATATGTTTGATATACATATAAATTTAAATATATTTAAATTTATGTTATTATTATGATATTAAAAAATAAAATTGGTAGTGAACATTGTTAAAAGATTTCTTTTTTTCGTCTAAGTTGATAAAATGGCAGTGAACATTGTTAAAAAATAATTGACCAGTCAGATCAACCAATTCTGACTGGTTCGTTGGAAATCAATTCGTTAAAAGGAATCCAACCGTTTAATTGACCAATTCTCGATTCAACAACCAGTTTGGCTTAGTTTTCAAAACAATAGTAGTTGATGCTATTTTTATTTTCTTAAATTTTATTAACTTCTACAAGTATACTTTATTATTTATCAACCACTATAATTGTAGTAAAATTAAATAATTCTTTTCTAAATATATTTATCATTTAATTAAAAAGATTTGAAATATAGAAAACATAATATTGTAATTAATTATTAAATACAATAATAATAATAATATAAATTTAAATATATTTGAATATATATATATATATATTTAAATTTATATTTTTGTTATATTAAAAAGTATATCAATATTTATTAACTTATTTAAAAAATATATAATTGACCAGTCTGATCGACCAATTCTGACCAGTTCATTAGAAACTAGTTCGTTCAATGGATTCCAACCGTTTAGTTTACAGATTCTTGATTCAACAGAAAGTTTGACCCAGTTTTCAAAACAATAGTAGTTGATATTATTTTTATTTTATTTTTATTCCTTATATTTTATTAATCTCTACAGTTCTATAATTACAATAAAATTAACTAATTATTTTTCAAATATATTTATTATTTAATTAAAAATAATTTGAAATATAGAAAACATTGTATAGTAATTATTTTTTTATTTTTTGTCTCGAAACTAAATTTTTACTATCAAATATTGTTATATACTCACGACATAAAAATTACAACAAAAATAGTAGAAAACGATTTTTCAACAATTGGAACTAGATTTACAACACAGTCAATCTTATGGGACTAAATTTGCAATTTCCTCATTTTTCAACCTAACGACTAACGGCCACGTGACTCGCATGTGACGCCTCCGTTAATATTGGCAACTTTTGGACTACTTTCGCAATGAAAAAAATGTAAGAACTGAATTTCCATCGGGTGGAACTAATTTTACAACGGGCCCAATCCTACGGGACGAAATTTGCAATTACCTCACTCGTCATATATATCTTTATAACAAGAATGCATACCTTATTAACGAAATGTCATACCATTGCTCATATTTTCGTCGAGTATGGCATTTTAATTTAAAAATATGCATATAAAATAATAATATAGTTGTCTACCTGTATAAACGTATAAACGAATGAATGAATGCTGATAATATACAAAAAAAAACAACTCTACTGCTTGTGCTTGAACTATTCTCTTTCTGACTTTGACATATGCATACGTGATAAGTTTGTACCTACACACACATATTGTTGTCATATGTACGTATATATAATATAAGGAGTGAGGGTGGTATTAGAGAGAAAGAAAGGATTTTTTGTGTTTTAGTGAGTTTTTGTGTGTGTGTGAGGAGAGAGAGAAAGAGAAAGAGAGATGGGGAGAGGCAGAGTTGAACTGAAGAGAATCGAGAACAAGATCAACAGGCAAGTCACTTTTGCGAAACGAAGGAATGGGCTGTTAAAGAAAGCTTATGAGCTTTCTGTGCTCTGTGATGCTGAGGTTGCTTTGATCATCTTCTCCAATAGAGGAAAGCTGTACGAGTTTTGCAGTAGCTCTAGGTATCACTAAATTACAACAAACTTGCAATTTCCTCTATCTCTGTATGTTCCAACCTTTATAGCTCTCCTCTTTTCCCACGCCCTCTCCTTCTTTCTTTCTTTGTGCTACAAGATTTTTACTCTTTGTTTAAGTTTTCGTGGGGGTTTTTTTTTTCTTTCTTTTTTAGATCTGGGCTCGAATAAAAATCCAGTCTTTGTTATGAAGGAAAGAGGGAGAAGAAAATTATCTTTTTTGGGAGTCTTTTTGCCCTTTAGGTTGATATTTGGTGATGTATAGGTCTCTGTGCTTCATGGTTTTGTTAGATCTGCAAGCGGAAACCGTGAAAAGAAGATAATTTCTATATTTATGTGAGGTTTTTGTTTTGTGCAGAGCTACATGAGTGGGTGGGTTTCAGCCTTGCGAATTACAGCTTTTGTGCCCTTCTCTCTTTCTCCTTTATAAAAGATCAAATTTTTATCCTTTTGGTTCCAGATTAGGTAGAATCATGGTCAGATCAAGATCGTTTTTTATCCTTGTTGTAAATCATTTAGTCCAAGGATTTCACTTCGTTTATCTTCTTAATTTTATCGGGTTCTTTTTTTTTTTTTAACCTATTGTGTCAAGCGTTTGAGAAATCCAATATTTTTCATCAATAATTTCGGTTTTTCCCAAATTCTTTCATGATCCATTTACAATGGAAAATCAGTACCTTGATCTGGCATTCGGGTTCAGTTTCTTCGCGCAAGATCATAATCTAGGGTTTACTTTTCAACTTTCTCATTTCTGGATTAATCCTTTCATGGAGGAAAATATCAGTTAAATATATAATTACTAGTTGAAGATATTATGAGAAATCAGACATTTTCTTATGTAGGTTGCCTAAAAATTCAGAAGTACTTCCATTTGAGCCCAATTTCTGTTCTCTCTCTCTCTCTCTCTCTCTCTCTCTGCGTGTGTGTACATGGATGCTTGCCTGGATCAGCTAATTTCTCCCTGGTTGCTTTATTCCTTCATTTTCTATTTTTTTTTTATTTTTTGTATTGCGTGAGATTTATATGTGTAATCAGGATGTAAGGTATATTTTCATGGCAGATCTTTCTTGATTTGACTTTTCATTCAGGCTTAAAGTAGTTTAAAGCAGTCTTGTATCCAGTTACAAAGACACCTTCTCATCCTCAATTTTTGTTCTAATTAATGTTTATTAACTGCTACTTGAGTTAATTACTAACAATCAAAAGCTGTGCTGCACAATTTCTTGTGGATAATAATGTAGGAGTTAAATTATACTCTTGAAAGTTGAAACTGAGGTATTACCAATTATTCTACAGATTTTAGTCTCCCGTTTGTACCACTGAATTGATATTTTTTTCCTTACACAACTAAGTGAAATTGGCAATTCCTAAAAATTATTGTTAGTGTACAAAATCAGTTATTTTAAATTTGAATAATGAATTGTTGCCGTACTTATCTTATGTTCTAAGACTTAATCGATTGTAAGTCTTGTGTAACTGTAGCAGCATGCTGAAAACACTGGAGAGATATCAGAAATGCAACTATGGAGCACCTGAGCCGAATATCTCCACAAGGGAGGCCCTGGTATTTTATATCCATAGCTATTCTATTTGATGTTTAATAACTGTGCATGTGAAGACATTACTTGACATTTCATTTTTCGTCGTTGTGGAAAAATAACTTGGCTAGTGATTAGCTTTGAACGTAGATGTACATTTACTAGTCATATTCTAATGCATTGCCTTCATAAATATCTTCAAACGAGCAATTCTTGAGACGAGCACTAGCAAAAGATACAAGAAAGAAACTTTCTTCCAGGAGTCATAGACGACTGGGAAAAGATAACTACATATATATATATATATAGTTTTTGAAGTGTTAATGTTGATATCATGGTTTATTTATGTAGGAATTGAGTAGTCAGCAGGAGTATCTAAAGCTGAAAGCACGCTATGAGGCCTTACAGCGTACTCAAAGGTTTGTTGCTTAATAGATCTAACAAATCATACATGATAAATTGAAGTGGATTGAAATGTATTGTTGTCAAATAGCTACTATGCTTAAATTTGGCATTTGGGTGTTCATTTATCTAGAAACCTGCTTGGGGAGGATCTTGGTCCTTTGAACAGCAAGGATCTTGAATCACTCGAACGACAGCTTGATATGTCACTGAAGCAGATCAGATCAACTCGGGTACTTAATCCATTCAATCACTTGTGAGGCCAACAATATTAACAAATCAACAAATGTATACTAGTTTTTGGTGAATAATGAAAAATTGTTTGTTATAGTCGTTCATCTATTTGTTATTTCTCAGCAATACAATTGGAAAGATGAGTTGCACATTTTGTTGAGAAATTAATAATCAACAACACCAAGATTAATATGCGCATTTTTCATAAATTATTTTAGAAATGAAAGTTGCTTTATGGTGTAAACTGATATCGCAGCCAGTGAACTTGTTAGAGATGAATGGCATAGTTGAAGTGTCAATGCAAATGTGTCCTGATATTTGAAAATGATGTGATGATAAACTAGAAATGTGGAATGATTTAAAATGATGATGGTGTAAATTAATATGCATCTTGATTTCGACATTTAAATATTGCAGACCCAAACAATGCTGGACACCCTCACCGACCTTCAGCGAAAGGTAAGTAGATAAAATTTCTTTCTTAAAACTTTATCACAATGTTGGTATTTTTCTCTCATATCTTTCTTATATATATTCGTTGTGTCTCTTTAAATCTTCGTTTTGTCTTTTCATGCATGTTCTTAGGAGCATGCACTCAATGAAGCTAACAAGAGTTTGAAACAACGGGTATGTCTATTAAACGTTGAGATACTCTTGGCTTCTGAATACATATACGATGAGCAAGTTATTTAAATTCTTTTTTTATAATTTACGGTATAATTAACAGTTGATAGAAGGAAGCCAAATAAGTCTGCATTGGAACCCAAATGGTCAAGAGCATGTTGGGTATGGAAGGGAACAGCCTCAGCCTCAGCCTGATGGCTTTTTTCATCCTCTTGACTGTGGTGAACCCACTCTACAAATTGGGTAATTAATTATATATCCAATGCTCTTACATTTTTGAACATTAACTAGCTAGTTCAACTTAGATTTATCGACATTTGCAGGTATCAGAATGACCCAATAGCAGTTGCAACAGCGGGGCCGAGCTTGAATAACAACAACTATATACCCGGATGGTTGCCCTGATTTAGTTATGAATTTGTCATCCCTTTGATTGATTGACGATGATGATGATGATGAGCATTTGTGTTTTACTTTCTATTCAGTTGCATCTTCTCTCATAAAAACTGTTGAAAGCTCTCAATCTCTCTCATAAAGACAAACTGAACACATGTTCTTATAGTCCCTGGATTTTTATTATTGTATTGTATGTAAGAAAGGCATGCACTAGTTGAAACCTATGATGTTTCATAATATTATGTGTCAATTTCGTGTGTTTTGAAACCTATATGTTGAGTTTTTTGTGTTTTGAGATAGTTCGTGTATGTTTGGATTTTTATCTCTCTCAAATTAAAACATTTAAAATTATATAACACTTGATTAATTTATATTATAAATTAATTTTAAAAATTAATAATTATGTATATATATATATATATTAAAATAACTATATTTTAACGATATTCGATTTGACAGTCAAAAATAGTTATTTATGCCTTTGAGGAGTTTTACATGATGTCATTGTAAATAATTTATTTATAAAATTTTATATGTCATATATGTGTATGTGATATTTTTAATTATAAGTTAGATAAATGAGCATCACATTTTATAAATTTTGTCACTAATAAAAATGAACGATGTAAAAATAAATTATTTAACTTACATATTTTTATATTGATTATAACAAGTGTGTACAAAGTCTTAAGGGTTTTGGCTAAGCCATAAAAATAATTAACTAATTTTAATAAAAAACTTGGTTATGAGCCCAAAAAAAAGTAATAATAGTTTTAAATAAATAAATTAATTGTTTAATTTGACTTTATGATTAGTTAGTAGTAGGTATTATTGTATATAATATAATAAGTAAAAAGTACAACTACTTGATTTATGATTAGTTTTATTTTTTGTCCAACGGCAGAGTGTATTAATACTAAAACACAAGATTACAAACGACCAACAAGCTAAAAGACACAACCAAAAGCTGAAATAGAGAGGCCTACAAGTCAAAACGACTGTAGCCTAGAAGCCTAAAGAAGACCAAACAACTAGTAACACTAGAACATAAGACTCCCACAAGTGAAGAACAAAAACTCCCACACGAGAGAAAAAAAAAACACAACACAAAGAAACACGAACACAAGGCAACAAAAACACACTATCTAAACGACACGACACCATAGAAAAAAGACTAACCCTCCTCTCCAACTAGGACCCCCGCACTTCAACAACTCAAGCCAAACACCAAACGAGGTCCACCGGGCAAAGACGCACTGCCCACGGTCCGCCACAGCCTCCCCCAGCAGACCACAAAACTTGACCCAGGCAGACCTCACCACAGCCTCCCCACGCGCACCCCAGAAACTCGGACCATCGCACCGTCACCTCCAACGGAAACGGCATTCCCGACACCAGAAAAGGCCGAATAAGGGAAAACCAAGGTTCGGTCCATCGCCCTGACCGCCACAAGGCCATCAGCGGCGACTGCCGACCCAAACCCACCGGATCTTCCAAATCTCGAAATCCCACCATGGCAAACCAGAATGGTCGATATCCACGGCGCGGAGAGAGACTGAAAACAGCAGGAGCCACGTTGCTGGACAAATCATGTGCTGACTGACATCGCTGGGAGTGAGTAGTCGTCGGAGAGGAGGCCCGTTCGAAGGAGAGAGAAAAGGTTTACTATTTGGGAAATTGGGAATTTTTGGAAGAGAGGAAAGGGGCGGTCCATTGGGTTTTTCTTGAGAAATGTGATTAGTTAGTAGTAGCAAAACGTAATTAAATTATTATCAATAATTTCAAATAGACATTTGTCGGCACGGGTCCCACGAGCTCGATGAATAAGAGATCAAGGAACTTGAGCGACAGTGGCTTCAGCAAAAAAGGGAGGCAACCTTTTACCTATAATTGGAGCAGAAAATCTATGGAGCCATCGGATGGCTCCCTTATGGAGTCATCCATAACTTTATGTACTGACACGTGTCCAATATGTATTTATTGCAGGACATGTGTCAATACATCATTTGTAAATAACTATGAATGACTCCATAAGTCGAATCATCTGATTGCTCCATACCAAAACCGGTGTACTTAATAGGCATCCCACATTCAATAGCTCAAACAATACTCCAATTATCGGTTTTGCTATGGAGCAATTGGATGACTCGACTTAAGAAGTCATTCATAGTTATTTACAAATGATGTAGTGAATGTTGGATGCCTATTAAGTACACTCCTATATAAAACATTTATCCATCCTTTTTTTTTTTTCTGCTACATTTATTAATGAGATCCACAAAAATAATTTTGATTTGCACCCAAAACAAAAGTCATGCTTTTTTCACCATCTAATTTCATTTCTATCATTTTTTTATTTTTTATATAGTGTATTAAGGAAAATAATTAACATTATATTTATAAGTGAAATTTCAACTTAGGTCAATTCGCCATTAGACTGGCTATGGGTGCATAACCAAAGAACTACTCAACTGCTATTCACCGCCCCCTTTTTACTAGTCACCGCCCCCCCTCCCCCTTATTCTTTTGCCCTTAACCCTTTTTCAGACTCTCTCTCTCTAAACTTTGTATCTCTCTAAATTCTCGAACTTTCAACGAGCGATTCGAGCACCGAAAAAAATCCGAAAAAAATGTCGAAAAAATTCTATGGCCTCGGCAAAGCATTCTTCTCTAGCAAGGTAATTTTTTTTATTCTTTTTTCCGGCGGAATAATTTTTAAAATTTATTTTTTTAATCTGGC